TCGTTTGCTAATGAATAAAATAAAGTTAAATTATCTCAATATTCATTAACAATACCATATATTTTATCTTATACACATTGTCTCATTAGCAGTGATTAAATAAACAAATACATCTTAATACTTTAATGATTTAATTAAATACTTTAATATAATGATGTATATTTTCTTCATTAACAATTTCTTTGTTTATTTATTGAATTTAGTTGATAATTCATTATTAACACTACAACAACGTTTTGAATATCTTTTACTGAAGACATTTGACTATTTTCTTTTTAATTTGTTGTTTAACATCTTTTGAATATCAAATCATTCTTATTTTCGTTCAATTCACTATTTTTCTACATCAAATCGTTGTATTGTTATGTTCTAATGAGTATCCATTCAATTCAATGAATGTAAGATGTTATTAATATTGTGTATTTTCTTCATTTGACTATTCTTGTTTATTTGAGTACTACCATAATAAATTTAATAACATCAACTTCACTAAATCAAACAATGTCATATTTAGTATTAAATGAGAGTTTACATTCATACAAGAGTCATTTTGTACAATTACTTTATAATAATTCATTAGTCAAATGTAAATACATTTAGAATCTTTGAAATGAAGCAAAACATATATTTTTATTGTGAAACAAAATAAAATACATTTAGTTGATATTGACATAATTCACAAATAGAAACAACAAATAAAATGAATGTGATGTTAATCTTAAATAATAACAAGGAATTATAGAAATAAATAAATAAAAATGACAGATGTACTTTTAATTATATAAGAATTTCTAACTGAATTTGATACTTCTCTTTATCTATAACAAGAATATGTTTTAGTAAAAATAAACAAAAGATAAACGTCAATTAAATATATTACAATAATTCTAGTGTCACTTCTACTCCATAATGATCAGACATATAAGGAAATGGTTTGTTTGTTGTTTGAAATTTACATACATTTGTTTGAATGGCTTTTAATTCTTTTCTTTCTCTTCCATTCTTAATTCCCCAAATATAATCAAGTCGTGCATTAATCGGAGCTGGAACTTTAGATGTAATAACTGTGTCAACTTGTTCTCCATCGATAACTTCACTGTGTGTGATTGGATGAACTTTCTTATCCTCAAACAAAAAGTCATGTGCTTCAATATCAAATTCATTAGAATGGAGAGTGGTAAGAAAATCATCATATTCTTTTGTTCCTCCTTTAATGTTTAAATCTCCTTCAAATATGATTGGATCATTGTCATGTGCTGTACATTCATTAATAAAATGAAGACATTCATTGATTTGTGTATTTCGATGACGTCTTGATTTGGCATTGTCTTCTCTACTTTCATAATAATCTGCTTGAAGATGTGTAGAAAACAGATGAATTTCTTTTCCAAATCCAATGTCAATTTTTGTATGAATAACTCCTTTTGCAGATGCTCCATCTGAATAACATCCTCTTGTATAAATCTTTTGGTGTTGACTTACAATGGGAAAACGTGATAATATACATACACCACCATCAACTGGATAGATAGGCCATTTTGGTCTTTCTAGATGAGCTTCATACACAAATCCTTGTTGTTTTGCTTTTTCTATGAAGATTCGTCGTTTAGATGAAAATGCACCAAACAACTCTTGAAATGCCACTATGTCATACTTGTTAAGTTCTTCATCACAAAACGTCATTAGTCTTTCTTTCTTATAATCATTTCCTCGTGCAGTAATTCCTGGTGGACGACAATAAATGTTGTAAGTAAGTATTTTGATTGTTTGTCGATGAAGGGGATTGTTCATCGTTTTGTTGTATGAAACATGACATTCAGTCAGATTTAAAGTGGAAAATATAATCGATTCTTTTGTTCATTTTTATTTTTAGAGCAGTGTTGCTTGTGTTTTATACTCTATGATGGGAGCATAATGCCTAAGATATGTAATTCTGCTTCTGATAATATTCTTGGATAATGTCATTCTCCATCTGAAGAATATGTATTTTTATCAATCCTCTTCTTTTCTAACAAGTTAAAGAACTTCATGAAAGATGTGACTGACAATTCTCACATTGAGTGTTAATGTATGAAAAATTCTTCATTCAACAATAATCGAAATAAACGATAAAATAGTGTGTTTGTTGAATTATTTCAGAATTTCATTGATTATTGTATTTTCTTTATCTTTATCATTCATAATACTTCAATACCAATATTAGTCCTTGTTGTTTCTTTCATATAAACAATTCTATTATGTTTTGATTTGGAATAACATCAAATAAAGTATTAGTGTATATTTAGTATTTATATTTCATTTATGACAGTGTTATGGTTGTATTTGATGAATAAAATGATTAAGAACAATTATATATTTCAACTTCTTGATTGTTTATTCTTTTGTATTCTTTATTTCTACTTCTCTAGTTTTTTATTGTTGTAGTTTCATTGCGTACGAAAATAAGCAAAGAAATAATACATCTAATTAAAATACAAAAACTCTAATGATTCAAAATATTTTGTATCATTAGATTTTTCCACTTTATTGTATTTTGCTCATAAAATGAAAAAATATGATAAATATAAAATCTATATATATTTATGTTTTATTATCAATTGTAGTGATTTTGTATGAAATATTAATGAAATAAATGATTTGATTATTCATATTTATTTTTATTTTTTATTCTTTTTTATTCTTTTATTATTATGTTATTTATTTCTTTTATTATATTATTTATATCATTGTATTCTTATTATTATCTCTATATTATTATATTATTCTTATTTTATGTTTTTTCTATTTATATTATTTAGATTTTCTTCTTGTTATTCTTTTCTATTTAGATGTATTTGTTTATTTGTTTATTCATCTTATTCATCTTTTATATTCTTATCATTTATATTTATTTTCAATTTATATTATTTTTATCTTTTATATTTTATATTTTGTTTTTATTAAAAAAAAAAAGATGCATTACAGGAGACACCACAAAAGTATAGAAAAACAAATAACCAAAAAAGAAGAATTTCATATCAACCAAGAAATATAAATGATAGAAGAATGAGTGAAAATAGGTATTATCTGTATTGACAGAGATACATGAATAATCACACTAACCATTACAATAACAATTATTACCATAAATATCACAACATTGATGATACAAATCGTTTCACTCATCACTTCAATTATAATCATCGTCATAAACACTTTAATAATTATTTCAATAGAAATAAACAATATTAATATAATAGAAATAAATACCACAATAACACACAAAGAAGGTATAAACAATATCAAAATAAGAAACAAAACAGAAATCAAAGAAAAGAAATGATTGAAATACAAAATCAAGAATATTGGAAAAGACTCTTTGAAGAAGAAATTAAAATACTTACACCACAAGAAATAGGAGAAATTAAAAATATCAAGATTAAAGAATATACATCATCAACAATATGGAGAAGATGGTATTTTATTGCACGAGAAAAAACAAAAACAATCAGAATGGAAGAAGAGACTATTAGTATGACGCTGGAAGAAGACAATAAACAGTACAACCCAATTGAGATTAAAGACAATAGAATATACAATAACTATGTAATGAGTATTGAAAGTGAAGAAGACGATGATAAAGATTCTACGAGAGTAGAAGCTAGGCTTGCTGAGGAGAAGAAGAGGCTGGTAGAAGAGGAGAAGAGGCTTGCTGAGGAGAAGAAGATCACTAAAGGAGAGAAGAAGAGGCTAGTAGAAAAGGAAGAAGAAAACAGTAAAAAGGAAAAAAGAATAGAAGAAATAGAGGAAAAAGTGGAGGAGGATATGAAAGAGAAAGAAGAAATGAAAAAGGAATTACAAATAAAAGACCAAACCATAAAAAACTAACTAAGGATATTATGGCATTAAAGAAGAAGCATGAGAAGGAGATAAACACAAAACCACGAGTGCGATAAAAAATATTCAAATTCCATGCTGAATCTGAAAGAAAAAGGTCTGAAGTAAATAATTTAACACAACAATTACTCTTCCTGAAAGATAAATTATCTAAATTAGAAAACGAAAATACACAAGAAGAAAAAAAGAAAGATGAGGTAACTTACAATATAACAGAATCATCTGAATCACAAATTGTGAATGACCTCTCCCCCAATGTGGTAGTAGCTGATGAAATATCATCAAGTGAAGATGATCTTCCAAAAAAAAGAAAGTTAACGCAGAAAACCATTGAAGAAATGGATATTCGGCATAAGAAGATCACCACATTTGAATTAGACAATCAAAAAAAACGGGGGAAGCAAACAGATAGAAAAGAAGAAATTCTAACACTTTATAAATGTTTTGCTTTGAAATTATTTGAAAGAAAATTAAGATGTCAACTTAAAGAAGAAATAATAGAAAGGTTAATACAAGAATTTGGAATTAAAGTAAATGATATTAATGAATATAAAGAAATACTGAAGAAGACATTTAAAATAAAGAATGAAATTAAAAGAGAAATAAATAGAATAATGGAGGAAGAAATAATAAAACATCAATTGAAAGATAATGAGTTAAAAGAAATAATATCAAAAGTGAACAAGAAAGAAGAAATAGAAGAAGAGGAGGTAATGAAAGTATTTAAAGAAGAAGAAAAGAAAGAACAAGAAGATGTACAATTTATTAATTATTATTATAATAAGAAGAAAATACATCAAATAATTAATATTATTAATAAAAATGAAATAATAATCAATACATTAGATGATTACTACCATTATATTAAATCAGTAGCTTCAACTATTAACATCATTAATAAAAATAAACAAGAAAGAAGTGGAAAGAAAAGTATAGAAAGAATATTACAATCAAAAATATGTAGATTAAGAGATTTACTCCATAATAAACAATATATGAAATTAAAAAGAATAATACATATTAAGAAATATGATATATATCATATTAAAATAAAAACAAATGAAATATCAAGCACAGGAATAGGAGAAATGATAGAATCAATAAAAGAAAATCCAAATTGAATAAATAAAAGAATGAAGAAAGCATTTGGTAAGAATATTAATTTTAATGAATTAATGAATATAATAGAATTAAATGAAAGAAAGCACGATGTAAAGAAAGTATTTGAATGGGTAAATAATGAATTAAATGAAAGATATCTAAACGAAAGAAAAGAAATGTGGTGAATATATAAAATGTGCAAATGGCATTTTTAATGATAAGAAATTAACAGTAGCCACATGGATGTCATTAAATATAAAAAGAAATGCATTCCTCCAAATAGTAAAGATGCAAGAAGGAGTAACTATGAAATGAAGTATTAAAGCAAAAAATACTCCAAAATGATGCTTTAAAATATTGTAAACATTGCCCTAACACAATTGCATCTATTAGTCATATATTGTTAGGATGCCCTGTAATGAAGAAGAACCAAATATTAAAACATGATTATGTTTGTAAACAAATATATAAACAGATATTAATTACAAATTTTAATGAATTTGATTCAATTGATTTTAATAATCCTCCAAAATGTATTAATAATGATGAAATGATTATAACTTACAATAAAGATTTGTTGGTTAGTGACAATTCATTTCCATGCTAGAAGATAATATAGGCAACGAAAAAAAGCAAATAATTGAAAAAGAAGAGAATGAATGATATAAAAGAATAAAAAGAAAGTAAGAAGTAGAATATGATGAAGAAAGAATAAAAGTAGAAAGGAGAGAATATAAAAAGAAAGAAGATAAAGTATAATAAAACAAAAGAGATGATAAAAGAAGAATAGAAAGAAAAAAATAAAGGATGCAAATTTTATTTCAACAAATAAAAAAAGCGCAAAATTTAATGATGCAAAATTTAATGATGCAAAATTTAATGATGCAAAATATTTAGCAACATATTTTATTGATGCAAAATATTTTGAAATAAAAATAATTCATCATTTGATATTATTATATTTGATAATAAATTATATTATATATTAAATACATCATATTTATTTATTATTTATCTTTCTTTTCTTTTTATTATTTCATATATTACATTATTATTCATTCATTTATTATTCATATTTCATTTATTAAATAAAATGAAAGATAAAATTGTAAAATATCAATT